GACCTAGTTTGCTTGCTGTTTGTTTAAAGACATTAATGAGAATGTGAAATGAGACAGGGTTTTTTATCTGTAATAAACTAACCTATTTTCACAGCATATCTGTAAAAAGCAAACTGCCTTTATTGTAGGCTAAAAAAAATGGAATGAACTGCGTATTTCTCAGTTGGTCTCCCTGAGCCAAATATATTTTCTGTTACCTTTACTGTTTTGACATTTTTAATGCAAAAAAAAAAAAAAAAAAAAAAGGAGAGAGAATAATATGCTAAAAAGATCAAAGCCCAGAACCCTAATACAGTTAACATATATCTATCTGAGTAAAAAATCTATTTAAGTCAATGAAGATAGCCTATGGGAATTAAAAGAAAATTTGGTCCTTAAGCCTTTTCTCATGAAAGAACAATAATGAAAAGTATGGGGAACTGCTTACAGTGACACAGTAATAGACTTATTATTTTTTTATGTCTATTTTATTCAAGTAGACCTTTAAGAATTATAAAGTTGTCACTGGCAAAGCAAAGGCTTCATATGACTTAATATTTAGATATTTTGGGTTTGGATATTGCATTTGGATATGAGAAAGAAATGTAATGTTCACTGTGTGAAAGATATTTTATCAAAGACAGATTCAGAAGGAAATGGAGGAAAGCTAACTACTAGGTATTTTATGTTAGATAACAAAAATTCCTTAGTAATGGATTTTTCTTATATTCCCACCAAAAAAAATCCTTGAGTTGATGTGGTTTTGATGTAGGCATTTCTACTTTTCTTTTAACCTAAGTTCTAATTCCACCATCACTTTTTCCCGCATAAGTTCTAGATGCACCTTCTTCATTGTAGATGCATGTTTTATTTAATGCTATGTTAATATATTATGTATGTTTAATTGGGTACACTGCTTTTATTTTGCTCCATATTTCTATACCTAGATACCAAAGATTGAGGTCAGTACATAGATGAAACACAGCAAAACAACCCTCAGTGAAATCATAGAATGCTTTGGGTTGGAAGGGAGCTCTAAAGGTCATCTAGTCCAACGCCCCTGCAATAAGTAGGGACATCTTCAAATGGACGAGGTTGCTCATAGCCCTGTCCAGCCTGACCTTGAATGTGCCCAGGGATAAACCCCATCATAAAAAAATCTCCTCCACATGTCCAATTTAAGTTTACTCTCTTTTTCTCCCTTGTCCTATTGCAACAGGCCTTGCTAAAATGTCTGCCCTGTCTTTCTCATATACACTTAAAGTTCTGGAAGGCTACAGTAAGATCTCCCTGAAACTCTTTTCTCCAGGTTGACCAACCCCAGTTGTCTCGGTCTGTCTTCATAGGAGAGGTCTTTCAGCCCTCTGATCATTTTTGTGTCCCACCTCTGGATGAGCTCTAGCAAATCCCTGTCCTTCTTATACTGAGGACTCGAGCTGGGCTCAGTATTCTCAGGTGGGGTCTCAGCAGAGCAGAGTAGAGGCATGAAATCGTCTCAAATTCATTCCCAGATCAAAACATCTATCTCTTCTATGTGTCTGTGCTACCTCTGCCATTATAGGCCCTTTCTGTACAGGTGATGCTAATGCATCTAAGCTTGTTTTGTTAGTTCCTGAGGAAAATGTGTCAGTGTTGGAAGAAACAGGTTAGGCTTGTTAGGTAAGAAGAGATCCATACTCAGAGATGTTGATTTAGTTTTCTACATGGTAAATAGGCTTTATGAAATAGGTGAAATTTTTTAAAATATATTTTTAACTGTTATGTTTGTGTTAAATTAAGGACAGAAAGAAATATGTGCAGGAAACTGATACTGTACATGATTTGAGAAAAGAAGAAAATTTAAAGGTTGTTTAATTATATTCCATAGTGCAGTGTTCTCTTTTTGAGTTAGCTGGATCAAAAATGTATAAAGGAGAAGTCAGTTGTTTTTTTCTTTTTTTCTGAGGCATGGTGAAAAAATGAAAGAGACCTAGGACAAAGTCTCTGAACTTATGAGCATGATGTCTTTCATTGGTCTGGAACACCAGAGGTCTTGAACCTGAGCACCTAATTTTTTAAGAGTTAAACAGTTCTGTGAATCTTTCCTGATTTACAAGTTGTTTGTTTGGTTTGGTTTTCTATTTTAGCAGAGTTAACTACTAGAATTTCCTTTGTACCTGGGGAAAAGGGATTTTGAAGCAGTAGATCTCTGTACATTACATTCTGGTTTAAGCTGTAATTATTTATATAGCAAAGAGCTATTGAATAGCTATTGAATGAACAATTGATAATATGTCTGTTTTCACCTTGGTTTCAAGTTTTTATCTGAAACACCCACAGTCTAATGTATAAGATGTTTGTTGCAGTATATAAAAGAATGCAGAAGTTTGTAATGTTGTTAAAGCGAACATGCTTCCAAAATGGTGATTGTAACTCTTTGTGTAAACCTTTCTCCTTCCCAAGATCCCTCACTGTACCTTGGAATGTCCTGAGAAATACCTGAAAGTCTCCCTGTTGGTTGTTAACCCTTTCTTGTAATTGGTTGGTTTGTAAGACCTCCTGGACTCCCACTGGTTACATTGTGATTCCCCCAAGAGCTATTTAAACAGTGACCAGAACAATAAAACTCTCTCTGCCTGCTCACCCTGCCAGCAGCTTGTCTCCTGTGATCCCTGCGGGAACCATGGGGACCGCATGGTGGCGGGGAGGGGGAGGGCACCTTCCCCTCCAGGACTAGGGGTAAAAGGAAAGCCTCTAGACTGGAGTTCCCCTCCCTATCCACCCTCAACGTTCAACAGATGTTGTCTAGAGAAAATAGGGGTTTGGTAGTAGATAATACAAAGTAGATTTATTATTATTTTAATAAACCAGAAATTGCATTTTTTCTCTATGGAGCCCCTGAAGAAATATGGCTCATCTGGTCCTATTGCAGTTAGCATATGGTGATACTTCTTATCCAAAAGGTGATATCAAAAGTTGTTCTTTAATTAGAGAATCTGAGGAAACAAAGTACTATGAATGCTTGCACTAGAGCAGTTCTTACCTTATTTTATAATGAGAACAGATTTTTTTTTTTTATTCTTCCAAAGCTTTAATGTTTGCAAATAAAGTTCTGCATCAGTGTTGGTCAGATCAGGCAGGTACTAATTAACTCAGATCAAGAATAATGATATAAGTTAAACCACTTCCACTCAATCCATGGATTTAGCTTTAAGATAATAAACCATAGTGAACATGATTCTGTTTGCTGGAATTGTTTTTTTCAGAATGCATACAAGGAAAAAGTTTTGCCTATTGTGTCAAGACTTTAATTTACCTTTTGGGTGAATAAATTATGAATAAATCACCTGTAAACTAAAATTAGATGATTTTATGTAATTTTCTTACTCAACAAAATTACACTTATTAACCCTTGCTATACTAATATGGTAAAATAATTTAGAAGGTTTGTTATTATCCTGTTCTCTACAATAAAGGAAATTCTGCATGTCAATAAACTTTTAAATCTTCAACTCTCCCTAAAAATAGAATTCTTGTCATAAGTATTTTAAACTTCTTTTTCAATGGAGGAAATGTTTCTGCAAGCTCTTTAATTGATATCAAATGTCTTCCAGTGATGATCTGCACCACCGACAACTGAAATGTCATACTTCTCTATAAATGAGCAGAAAAGACTTTAGCTTTAGACAGGGAGTAATTTTGATGACAGTTCTCAAGAAAACAACAACAGAAGTAATTACAGCAGATTAACATGAAGCAAAATATATGCCACGCATCAGTGTATGTTAATACTCAAAATTTAAATAATCTTTGTGTAGATACTGTCTCTTAAAGTTTTGGGGTGAGGGTTGTGTTTTGTTTTAAATTACAGAATAACATGAATTTCTGCAGATAAAAAGAGCTTTTTTAATTTGGCATTATGATTCTGAATGAGGAACCCCTAGGAGTTAATCACTAGCCTGCAGTAAATGATCCAGACCTAAATACCTTCTGCTCTGTAGCTGAACTCTCTGAAAATGTGAGTTTCTAGGCACATGCTTTCAGAGAGCCACCCTCATCATCCTGGTGCCACTCCTGAAACTAAGTTTTTCATTCTAAATCTTCAGACATAGTTGGTCCTTCAGTGTTGATCCTTCCAGACATCCTCTGAAAAAATTATGCCCAACATGTTATAATGGTTTGTTAGATCCCAAAAATTATTGATCACATTTTATATTCTGTAAAGCCAGAGTTGTAAAAAATTTGCAGATGCATTCTAATTTCTTCTAGACACAGAAAGCATGACTTATACAGGAATATCCAGAGAGGTTACCAGAATACTTTAATCCTTCCTTTTTCTTTTTTGTATATAGCTTAGTCTAGTCTTTCACTCACATCAATAGTTTGTTGGAGACAGAGATCTCTTTAATATGGTTTACATTCCTCCTGTCAGGGTTCTGTGCTGTAGCTCTAGTACACTTACCATGCAATTCACTATTTCAGTTACATGAAGTCTCCCTGACTAGGAAGATTTACTCTTGAGGCTGGAGCCTGATACTGGTGATGAGATGCCTCCCATTCAAAGGAGGATTAGGAGATTAATGACTCTTCATTGCTAATTCTCTGCTGGTTGTCTCAGATTCTCACTTAGCATCTTTCTGGGTATTCAACCCAATATGCAGGCTAAATGACCAAAAAGAAATGTGATTGTAGAGGGGTTTAAGATTTCGGGCATATGCTAATCCATCATTATCATAAAGTTAAAGAAGAAAATAAAAAACTTCTGGCAGCAACAACAATAGCTGTAGATAAATAGGAACATATTCTGATGTCCTAATATTAACCTGTGCTAATGAACCTATATATGTAGACACACTTTTACAGCTGTTTCCTGAGCATTAACGGTGCTGATGCTTATAACACAGTTCCAATGATAGCATAAAACCCATGGTAACTCAGGAAATAGTATCTTCATGACAACATAGGTTCAGTTTACAGTTTTGAGATTACCTATCACTTATGCTTATGTATGATCTTCCATTTATGTTTGCTTTGGCTTTTAGCTCCAGACCAGTCTGTCTGAACCGATGACTTTATCCAAGTCGATCTCACTTCCTCGTAGTGCATATTGGCATCACATCACCCGGCAGAACAGCGTTGGAGAAATCTACAGTTTACAAGGCAAGTTGCTTATAATGTCATATCCATTAGCTTCTTTCCATTTGACCAGAATTCATGAAAATTGCTTCTTATTTGCACTGGTTATTTTCTCTCCATTTCACTTTATCAATTGTCAGGAACCTCAGCAGGATTCCCAATTTACATAAAACAGGTTTCTTTCAGTCATTTTGTAAAGTAATGGTGAAAATTATCCCTAGAATCACCACATAAAGCTGGATAGACAATTTGGCTCAGTGTAGCTTCTCAGTAGCTAATGAATGTCAGGTTGTTTTAGTATTTTCTTCCAATAAGATGGGGCAAGTATTTGGGCAACCTCAGGGTGCCTAATTAAATCTACATAAAGTGGCTATATGAGTTGCAAGATTAAAACAAAGTAATTCTAGGAATAAGAGCTATTCTTGGTAAATTTGCTTGGCAAGTCAGATATATATAAGAACTTGACCAGTGTTGACTTGACCAGTTCATAGGCCTTCTGTATAGACTCATCTTTTTCTGTCTCCAGTTTTCTATCATATGTTTAGATTTGTTTAAGCCTTTAAATGCTATAATTAACAAAACTTGATGATGATGATTCACTGCTCTTAAGCTGAAATTGATTTGTATCTTTTTGGAAACTGAAATTATCCTTGCATTTTTAATGTAGACCTTTTAAAAGTAGCCTTTCATAAACATATTTCTTTGTAAATTTCTAAAGGCGTTAAGGATTTTGTTTCACTTCTTTCTTAATAATATCTTTGCATAAGCATTTTATATTTTGATAGGAGGTTAGAAACTGCTCACAAACAAGAGTATCTAATGCAAAAAAAATGGTACGTGTTTTCATGAGAATAAGTGAAATGCAGTATATAGATGAAAGACATGAAATGTTTTGTTTTGTAAATTATCACATAACTTAAAACCAGCAGATGAGCTGTGAATTCAGTGGGTGGCTCATTAAAGGGTGAAGAATTTGTTTCCCATCATCCCCCATAGAGCAAGGACAAAGTTAGTTTCTAATCATGGTCATAGTCCTACATTTAAATACCAGTAATGTGAAAAAAAATAATAATCTTCCAGAAGTTGTTTGGGAAAAAAAAATTTACTTGTACATCACCTTAAAAATATTCATCATATCACTGGTATTTTTCCATGGACACAATAAGAATGCAAAAGGAAGTTTATTTGTAGAGATGTTATAGTTCCTTTTGTGTTCTTCATGTGTCTTTTCTTCATCAATAAGACAGTAAATGTGTTACATTCATTCTCTACAATCTTTTTTTTTTCTTATAAATGGCCTTCAAAATGAGGGAAAGCAAAACTTTATATATGAATTAATAGTCCAATATCTATACCACCTAGCTGTGCAGGATTCAACATATTGGAAATGTATTAATAAAAATGCAAGAATTTTACTTTCTGGAAGTATGCAGATTTTATGATCACTTCCACTGAAACATGGGACTAATAAATATTTCAGAATTTAAGATTTTCGTTTTTCTTACATGTACTATGATGACTTAAACTTGAGAAAGCATAGTTGATTTCAGAAGAGACTAATTCAGTCTTACCAGTGGGCTAAGAAATGCATCCACAGGACATTCACAATCTCCCCCTGGTTGCAAAACTTTTCCATGCAAGAATATTATTCATTATCTGTAATGAAGATCTCCTTTAACCTTCCTTCTGCTGCAATGACTAATTAAATGCAATGTATTAGTACAGAAAATGAAGGGAGTTCAGAGTACACCTTTTCCTCCTAATCCCCTGTCATACTGATAGTCTTTGCACCGCAGGGTTGTCAAAGCATCAGCCCACAGAAGCTTCATGGATGTAGGTGGAAGGTGGGTAGCAAGGAAGCAGATTGTGAGCACCACTTCAACCCTCACCTTTTTACAGCAGCCAGCTGAGAGGGGCTGTTGCAGAGGGGAAAATCACTTTTTGCTGCTGTGATTTCCTCTGAGCTTCAAAAGGTATATGTCCTCTCAGAGAGGAGATGTTTTCTTCAGAGAATAATCCATCAAACTTAGTTCTGCACTTCATAGGTATTTATGAAAAAGCTTTATACATTCGAGAAACAAATTTGGAAATTCCCCACATACCTCTAAAAACTCATAAACTGAAATGAAATAACTGGAGTGGTGTCTACCTGTATTCAGACTACTATCAATATCTGTAAAGTAGTAACTGAGCTCACTGTTAAAGTACAAGTGTTTCCATAGTGGCAATTATTTCAAACTTGCAGTCTGAAGTGACCAGAATTTAATTAATAACAGCTGGTGATGTATAAGAAGAAATGAATATGTGCTCATACTACCTGAGATAAATTGGCTCTTTGGGAGTTATTTAGCAGTCAAATTTAACTTAATTAGTAGTGTGAGTTGATCAGATAATGAATATGCTGTGGAGTAAGAAGGTAGAGAGTTTTATGGGTTTTGGTTTTTTAAAGACTGCATTTCAGATGAGAAAAGGCAATTCAATAAATAGGTATTGGGTCTATCACCAGATATTAGCCCATGAAAATACATGTAAAGACCTGTGGAGACTAACACACAGAATAACAGTACTAAAGGAACATAGGTTGCACAAAATATCTTAAAATGAGATGGGTTTGTTTCTATCTTTATACAGCTTTTCTTCCATTTGCACCTTCCTTGCACTCTTTCAGTTCCTGATTGCACTGCTGAGATAAAAGTAATTTAGTTGTCTAATCTTGTCAATTGGAAGAACTTGCTGGTTGTCTCTTACCAGTGTCACCATATCACTACCAGCAATCTCTGCAAATTTCACAGTGCAGTGCTGCAGGTCAAACAGTTTCCATCCGTGATCCACAGCCACTGTGGAGGTTGTGACGTGGGGTCTCATTAGCTGACACAGTGCTGCCCTTTCAGTACTGCTTGTTGCCTTTCCTCTCTATCTGATGCGCTGTCAGGCATGGGACAAGCCTCAGTACTGCACAATAAAAAGGGGAATTGCTGCCATGCCAAAATGTAGCACAGTTTTTACAGCCATCAGGTTGAATTCTGATCTAAACTTCTGTGCTGGAGTGATTTCACTTAAAATCCCAATCGATACCCATGGCTTTACAAATCACAGTACCTCTTTCTAAAGTGTACATATTGTCTTTAGTTACAGTTCAGAAATTAAATAGTGTCCTTAGATATTTTTTATCAAAAAATAGCTTAATTAAGAGATAAAAAAAGAGAAAAAGATCTGCATACCATTTTTGTGCATACATGAGTATGACATAAATGAATTGTACATTTTCATAGAAAGAATAAAGAATGAAGAATAAAGAATTTGAGCCCAACAAAAGATAAACATTCATTGGTATGTTATGCACCCTATATATCAGGATCTACAAAAGTATGAAAATTAGAAGCCAGGATTAACCTTATTAACTGAAATCATGCTTAAGAAGAAAAAAGTAAAAGAGCCATATAAGCATGGGAAAAAAATACCTTGCATGTTTCCTTACAATTCGTTGTTTGTTACTAATACATGGCATAAAATTTAGCACTGCTACACAATATATTTAAAATAGACAAATAAAGCACATGTGTTTTTATACAACAAAAGATATTAAAGAGAATAAATCCTTTTTTTTTTTTTTTTTTTGGTAAGGCTTTAAATTTGCTTAGGATGAAAAAGGGAGAATTCAGCAGACTGAATTTTCAGCTATCTGAAGAACTCTAGTTATTGCCCTATAGAGTTTGGATGATACAAATGTTAAACACAGTCAGTTTGTATATTATTATAAAATTAAGGCCAAATAAATTTTTGATATTGGAATGCTCATTAGTTTTTCGTATTGCAGTTATTGAAATCCCTGAGGAAATTATGTTCAGAAAGTCTAATTACAGCCTGGTCTTTTTCCAAGAAATTCAAAATTAAGAAATGCTTTCAGTCACTCCTGTTGTGTTTGATCTGGCTTGTGCTCATTTTTTGAACTTTGGTTTTGCTATCCATACTCAAAGTGATGAACACCTACTCACATAAGCAATTTTATTCATTTCTGTAAGTGCACTTATGTGAAGGAGCATATATTTATATAAGAATTACACCAGTTTTACATGTTTTCCTCTAAAAAGAGAACATTAATACTTTTTTCTGCAGTAAATTGCTTATCACAGTTTGTTTATAACAAATATTTGCTCTATCACAAATGATTAGCACATTTTGTTGGAAACTCATATCAAAGTGAATAAATTACACAAAAAAATACTAAGATGCCTGCTAAGCTCTAGAGTTGTATTTTTAAACCTAGTGAGGAATTCTGAGAAATGAAACTATGGTCTTCAGTGAGATAAAACTTTGGCTGGAAACATCACTTAAGCTTGTAAATACATGTCGAAACCAAAACCAGACAAAAATAAAAAATGACCTCTATGAAGTCTGTAGAAATTTTGCTGTTTATATACAATTAGCTATTGTGTTTCACACTAAAGATGCAAGAAACATAAACTTAGTTTTGCAAATCAAAACAGAGGGAAGCTCTGGCTCCTCTTTGACCTTGGTAAGCAAGCCTGCATTTCCCCTTGTCTTTTGGCCTTGTTAGGTGGCAACTCAACCTTCTCTCTCTCTTTTTTTTTTTTTTTTACTCTATTTTAAGCAGGATAACATATAGTATTAACTCATTCAGCTAAAAGGTGTTGTATGTAAAAGGAAAACAAAGTCATACACAAGTAATTTCTCCCACCTGCATAGGTTTCCAGCCTTTTCAAAGTAGAAACTCTGATGTGTCACCAAAAATAATCAGAGAATATTTGAGATGCTAAATATTTAGAGGGGTCTGAATCATCCTGTTCAACCCTCTTTACGCTAATCCTGCAGGAAATTCTCATGTCGGCTTCTGCAGTTTTCTGCAAATTAAAGTATGTAAAATGAATGGGAGAACATTTGTCATTTTGGCATTTCCATTGTTTGTTCATAAGCCCAGCAACAGAGTACAGAATCCATTTCCCCATCTAATCTTGGTGCCTGAATAATGTGAATAACATAAAATGTTAGAATATATCTGTTAT